ATAAAAACCAATACGCGGGCACGCGGGCCGGAACAAAAACTTCACGCTAAACGTCCCCAGGACTACCGACATCTACCACAGGAGACTCAGGAGGAGGCACGACCTGACCGTTAATAATCTGAGACATGAACCCGACTCCCTCGGTATTCATGCCCAGATTCAGGATGGCGAGCTAGCTGACCGCGGCCTCGAACCCATCGACCAGGGCACCGACACAGTCTGTCTCAAGAAGGTGGATACGCGCAACCAAATCTGAACGGGTCTGCAAAGAGGCTGTCTCCTCCGACTCGTCGTCGACAGGAAGCGTAGCAGCTTTTAGCTCCTCGACTTCCTTGGACAAACGTTCGTTGTCACTCTCCAAGCGTTCCTTGTCCAGTTGGAGGCAATCCCTCTCCTCAGCAACCTTCGCAGAGTTTTCCTTCTCCCCCGCCAGCAGGTCGGCTTGCTCGCGAAACATTTCATCGGACCGCTCGAGGACCGCCTTTAACTTACGAGAATTGGCAGCAAGAGCGGCTTTCTCTGATTCCAACTCCCTAACACGGTCCGAGGAGTCTGACCCTTCCTCGGCAAGGACCACGGCCATCTCGGCCATCTTCACCATCCCGACCATGCTGGCGGCGAGGTGTTTCCTCCGGCTTTCTTTGTCAAACCGTCTAATAGTCTCGGCCTCGCCATTACTCACCGTCAGAGGAAACCCCTCGAAGAAATCTTTCTCTTTAAAACAGGGGGGTAAGCCGAAGGCCCTCGCAGCTACGGACTCGTCGCCAACCTCCGACCTGTTTTCAGCCTGACTTCTCTTCCTAGTAATCAGCTCGGTGGGTTGCTCGGCATCAAGAGAGCCCGAGGACCCACTAGAGGCATCTCCGCCCGAACTGGCCGGCGGACCCATCCTCGTGGCTTGCGGTTCCCTCACCATCCTTTTGTTTAATTTCTTGTCATGGGTTAGTTTCAATAACCTCTCTCGTCGTTCAGCCATGTCGCTTGCAAAAAGGAGCAAAACCCGGGTTAGCTGTAAGCGAGCAAAAACAACAAAAGTGGAATAAAACAATAAGAGCATAAGCGAGAAACCTAGCAGATCTACGGCTTGTCCGTAAGATTGGAACTCGACGAGTGCCTTGGTGTTGATGGGACGATCCTCGAATGTCGGGTACCCGTCCTCGTCAAGAATTTCATCCCCCTCCCGTGTGACCCACCGGGCATGGAAAAAGCTATCAACGAACTTGTAAAGGACAGCATAAGCCTCCTCGTCCTCTGCGCTCATGCTTCCCGCAGGTGTATGATAGTACTCGGTGCCATGATCGTAATGACCCGAGCACCAATGAATCGGGAACTTGGAAATACGCCCGATTTTTGGACGACCCTCAGCATCCACGAGGGGCTCCCCGTCCGCGTCGACCACCATGGTTTCCGATTCGAACAAGGAGTCCAAGGCGGTTTGGGTGACCGGCTGCAGAACATACCATTTATCCTTAAAGTCCCTTACCGAATCCATATACATCCTGAACAGCCTCTTCGACTGTTTCAGGGACATCCAGTTGTGCCTGCCTCCTCGAGACTGACGTTGCAGGTGAAAGACCCTGAAGAAAAAGGGAATCATCGCCCCGATTCTCAGGAAACGGCACGTCAGCTCGAATGCCCGAAGGAAGGCGATCGAGTTAGGGTGAAGCTGCGAAGGGGCAGGTTCAAATGGTTGAACACCCCGACTTGAAAGTCGCTGAAGGGTAGTTTAAGACCGAGATCCCTGAACACGATCTCGTACATAGGGAACCCGTACTCAGTAAACTCCGAGCAGATACGCGCATCAATCGACGGCCTCATTACTATAAAATTCTTTTGAAAACCTGGTTGACTGCCGCCATGCTCGACGACAGTATAAGCACGCCGACTTCTTCGACAATACGCCGAGGCAATCCCCCGGGGCTCGGCACCCACCCAGTCCAACGTGGGGTCATCAATGGTGTCGACTAACGTAACATTCTCTTCGGTACTTGTGTCCTCGACTTCATTTTGCCTCGAAGATTCCGGATCGTCGGCCATTTACCTGCAAAGCACAGGAAACCGGTGAATTCGAGAGCAAATCTGCGTGCTCGCCACAGAGGCAGGAGGAGGTACACAACAAACCGAACATGGACACCCCAACTCCGACCACGCATCGAGGACAGCACGGGGGTAGCACGAACGCCCCGGGTGAAACATGAATCACTCAAGCAAGTTCCTGACTTCGCCTGCCCGACACTAGGATATCGCAAGGATGCTACCCTACATACTTCCTAAAGGATCAGCATCCCGGCCAGTTCATGGGTGCGCCGACCAAACCCATGAATGTCACAGGCAGTATCATGAGTCATACGCCTAAACCCATGAATGTCACGGGCGGTATCATGAGTCATACGCCTAAAACTATGGATATCACGGACAGTATCATGAGTCGTATGCCTAAAACTATGAATATCACAGGCAGTATCACGAATTATGTACCTAATCTATGAGTATCCCGGGCACAATCATGAATCTACTGGACACTACTCCCAAATATGGATTTCTAACATCAAAAACCGTATCAAAACTACCTACAACGAAGAAAAACAGGAGGAGCGGACACTTACTTGGAAGAAAAGAAGTATGTACGACGGCGGTGGAAGTAATCAACGGCGAATGCTGCGGTGATCTCACGGCGTTGCAGGAAACGACGGCAGCGGAATCAGAGAAATAGGGAGGAGTGTGAAGAGGAAAAATAAGTTATGGGCCCAAGGATCCTATTTATAGGGATGACGTGGAATATGAAACATCGCAGCGGGGAGACACGGACTTCCTCGTCCTCGACATCTATTCCCCTAGGCAATGATGACCTTATTTTGATAGAGGGGCGTTACAATTCCCAAGAACTGCCTCACGTATTCGATAAACGCAGCCCATGAGGAATTCCTCGAGCACGCGGCGACAAGGACCGCCCTGCGTGTCTGACAAACGCAGCCCGTGAGGAATTCCTCGGGCACGCTTCGACAAAAATCACCCTGCCTGTCCGACGAACGCAGCCCGCGAGAAAGGCGAGCTAAAGATCAAGTCATAACTCCTGCATCAGGAGCAATGACTTGGGGGGCTCCTGTTCTGGACTGGGCCCACCTCGGCCCAAAGTGCAAATAAATGCTCACATCCAAGCAACTCCTCGGGGAAGGCTCACAAACGAAACATCCTCGAGCGTGCCCGACCATAGACTGCGGTTATGCCCGCCATTGCCCACGACAAGCAGTGTCCACGACCAAGGGGACTCCAGCTCGAGTCCAACTCGAGCACCCTCCCCGTAGGTCAGATTCCGTCCATCCCGACCATTATAGAACCCTCTAAGTTTCGGAAAGACCGCGTCTTCGTCCCTCCTTATTCTTCGCAGAGCACCACTAGGAAGGGGACCATGTGTGGGACCCCACTACACACGTAGAACCTGACAGTTCCTTTATTGGGCCAATTCTGGTCGGTCCAACGAGGGGACATTGGCCCAGCACTGGGGGCTATAAATACCCTCTGTTCTAAGAGGGTCAGGTATTCATCTATTACACACCTATACATTTTTTGCCTACTCATTCTGTCTCTCATTTTAGCATCGGAGTGTCTTGCAGGTACCCCCTCCCCCCCCCCCCCCCCCCCATCTCACTCAAATCCAATTCGAGCCAACCGTGACGGTCCAAGTCTGATCGGGTAAGATCAAAAGCAGACACCCTATTTTAGCCAAAAAATTAATTCGGAGATGCATTTTTGAAAAAATATTTCTTAGTGCATTTTTAACTATTTTAACGCAGCCACCTATTTTTGCCAAAAATTACTTTGGAGATGCATCTCCGAAAATATTTCTGAATCTATTTTTAGCTATTTTAACGTAGCCACCTTATTTTTTCCAAAATTAATTCAGAGATGCATCTCTGAAAAATATTCATGAGTGTATTTTTAACTATTTAAACGTTCTTATTTCGTATATTATGGGGTGTTTTCAGATATGCATCTGTGAATAAATCTTATAAAATTTCCGTTCACCCGTTTGCGCTTATTTTGTGTGAAAATGATACATCCAGAGATGCATCTCCGAAAACTGAATGCATTTTATAGTTTTTGCCAAGGGTTTGGGAGAACCTATAAGAGTGGGTAAATTGCCTATAACAATAGCCCAATGAGTCCAATTTTATTGTTGGATCTAAGACAGCCCCAAATACAAAAACAACACTATATTCATCCCAATACTTCTCAAATTTTAAAATCAGGCTAGCAATCATGCTTTTTATAACTCCCTCTACATCTTTTTGATTGTCTATCAAAAGTCATTGAGTTTTCCAAATTTGCAAGAAGTACAAATTGGAAATGGGATAGCTTGATCCAGACATCAAATTGGTAATTTCATAAAATGCAACAAGAAGCTACTCATTTTTTCAAGTCTCCCTCACTCTTCCTTTGAAGAATTACTTATAGAATTTGCATCTTAATGACAACAATGAAGATTTTCAAATGTACGTTGATATTTAAGAGCAATTTTAGACACCAAATATGTTAAATTTCATCTTGGAGGCACATCTCTAACCAATCCACTTGATACATCAATATTGCCAACAATACCAATATATTGCTTAAATTTTACGATGTTTTTCCTAATCTTTTAACAATGAACAAGAAATTTTACCATCCTACTCTATAAACATTTGACAAGTTTGATGCTTTCCCTAATCTTTTAACAACGAACAAGAAATAACTCTTCTTTACATAACAACCAATTTTACAAGACTAGTTCACTCTTGAAAGTTTGTTGCATGACATAATTTGCAAAAGCATTATCCAAAGTAACGGATTTCATTTACACCATCAAAATAAGCATTGTTAGAGCTATATTTACAACAAGACGAAAAGATTGCTATGTTATTATATTTTGCTTTTAATAATATATAACTATTTAGACACTTAATAGATATTTTTTTTATTTCACAAGTATCAATTGTAGATTGACATGAAGCCATGAACATTCAAACGGTTTCAAAATATACACACTCGTGGTCAAAATTCACGAGGTGCATGTGCATTTCAAGTTTTGCAGCAGTTATACCCTCATTTTCAATTTGAAATGGAAGTAATAGAAGAAGGGTTGCTTTTGTAATATCAGTTCCCCATATAAAATCACTCGAACTAAGATTGCTTCTGAAATTAGAAAAGGCTTAAAAAGTTAAAATAAATAAATGGTTTGGCAATACGTATTAGTATTATTACAACATAAAAAACATTGGTCCCTTCTCACACACACAAATCAATATGTACATGTTTTGGACAGTCACCGAGCAGCTCCCAAGCTAAGTTTACACCAAAACGACTCATCTCATTGCTTCTGTGCAAACTGAGGATGTTATAAAGTTCATGAAAAGTAAAAGGATAGACAATAAAATATGTTGTCCTACTAAGTCCTACCCTGTTTAAACAAAATCTTCAAAGTAGATAAATGGCATTAGTATAGCAAAAGAATGTCATAATTAAGTAAATGTATGCAATTTCCCTAACAAACCAAAAGAATATCATCATCATCATACCACTTTGCCATATATAAACAAGGTATTGAAAGATACATTCCCTTCCTTCAAGAAGTTGTTAGGAACCAGCTCTTCTTCATGTCGGAACTGACTTGTCATTATTATTACTTTTGTTCTCGGATAAACTTTGTTTCCTTTCTGCCTGAAGTGACCGGCATAACGATTCCAGTTTTTCCTTCTGATTTTTTGTTTTCTCAAGCTGTTTTTTCATGCGCTCACGCTGCTCGCACAATCAAAAGCAAACTTTCATTAACTCATTTTCAGAAGTAAGAATCAAAAGCAAAAGGGGCAACACATTATAGTGCCTAAGACATATTTATAGTCAAGAACAAAACAGGAAACACACGCAATGTACCTCATCAACTAACTCTATAAGCATGACATCCGACTTTTCTGATTTGCTCTTCAAAAATTGATTCTCCTTCTTGAGTTCCTTCATTGATTTTGCCATCTGATTTTTACCACAAGGAAGGAATTGTACTCATCCAAGTAAGATATGATTCAAGCCAAGATGAATTGAACAGATGCAATATTAATAAGAAATTAAGTTTACCTTCTCAATCTCTTGTTTAAACGTTTCAAATACATCATTGCTCTTTGTCAATGCTTCCTGAAATTCATTGCATGTTTAAGAACACACCGTAGTAGTAAATGTACAAAGTATAAATATATATGAATCCATTTAAAATCTGTTTACCTACATATCAGTGTTACAACTTACAAAATGAAAACAAGGCTTTTATGCAAATAATATGCCACATTATAATAAAATCGTCAAATTGTGACAGAAGAGAAAATGAGAACAAAAAACACACCTGGAATTGTTGGAATTTCTCTCCATCAGTTGTCAGCTGCAAACGCAAATTCTTCTCGGTTGCCAATAACTGAGACACTTGTTCTGCATATATTTTCATCTGTGACTGTTCGTGAGCCAATTTTTCCTCATGTTGCTTAATTTTTAATTCAGCAATCTGTAGTTCCAATGAATTTTGCTTCAACTGTTGATTGATACACGAAATAGTTAAGTAAATCACTATCAAATTTTCAAAAAAGTTAATAAATATGACTACATCAAATGTCAATCACAAGAAAACAAAATAAACAGCACCTTTTGGGCATGTTGCTGCTCAAGTAGTTGATATTGCTCCGCAAGCTGCTTTAGATTGTTTCTTAACCTGTATAGATATCAAGTCGAATTATTGTAGGCTCAACTTTAAACCTAAAAAGAAACCAGAACAGAGCTAGACTCAAAGTAGAAAAATATTAAATACTAAATAAAGTATTATCTGATTGTAAAATATTCCAATGCAGAAATATTTCTATCTTCATAACAACTTTTCAGGGTCTTACATGTCGTTCTCCTTTAGCTGAGAAAGACAATCGTCCTTACGTTCTTCAAGCCTGCTGCTCATATCCTGTAGCAGAGAATAGTTAACATTAACAGTGCCAATTGTCTCACAGGAAAAGAAAAGTCAAATTTCATTTGATGTAAAATAAATATTTAAACATGTTGGAATTATTGGAATTATTCCAATTATTGGAATTACAAATTATTGGAATTATAATTCGATATTTATGAGCATGTTCATGTATCTAGGAGTCTAGGAATCTATACCTTATAAATTACATACATGTACCTATGAAATAGCTTCAATCTTATCTTGTAATTACTCTCTTGAGTGTATATAATCAAATCACTTGAGTGCTTTGTAACTCACGCATTTCACCAAATATTCAATTTACAACATGGTATCAAGAGCTATCGAACTTGAGAGACTTGCTTCCGCACAAACCCTAGCCGTCTTCACACGGTAAACCCTAAGTCACCTTCATTGTGACAATTTTTGCTGCCTTCGTTGCAGCCTTGTTACCCTTCATTGCAGTTTATTTTTCTGTCCAAAAACCGTCCAAAAACACCTCTATTTCATCCTTTTTTTTCTGTTGTTTGGCTCGTCTTATTGCTGTTTTTTTAGCTTGCTACAAATGGCTGAAAAAATTTCTGTTGATACTCTTTATCATTCACCAATGATGAGGTGAATCGTTTAAAGGCTATACTTGACTCTCAGTATGCCTTCTAGAAGTTGTTCTCTACCGACGACCGGCTTGAGTGTATGCTCTCAATCCTTTAGCATTTGCGGTAAAATCTCTAAGAATGCTTGGATTTTGGACTCTGGTGCCACCGATCATATGACATTCAATCCTAGTTTGATTTCCTCTTCCTCGGAGAAGAACCGTTATATTACGGTTGCTAATGGTTCTTATGCCCGTATTGATGGCTCTGGGAGTGTTAACTTGCAATCTTCACTTCAATTACAGGGCGTCCTACATGTTCCCATACTCTCTCACAACCTAATATTTGTTTGTAAACTCACCCGTGATCAGAATTGTAAAGTAATATTTTTCACTTCTTATTGTGTTTTTCAGGGTCTTACCACAGGGAAGACAATTGGAGTTGCTGAGGAAAAGGGAGGGTTGTACTACCTATCTGATGAACCAAATTGTTCGAAGGTGTTGGCTTCCTACTTGCAGACTGAGTCTTCCGTGTCTTCTCATTCTACCGCACAAATTTGGCTTCAGCACAAGCGTCTTGGTCATCCCTCATTCTCTTTAGTTAAGTCTATGTTTCCTTCTTTGTTTTTACATCATTCAGTTGAATCTTTTAAATATGACGTTTGTGAGTTAGCTAAACATCATCGTGTCTCTTTTACTCCTAGTTCCAATAGAAGTGTTAAACCTTTTGATCTCATACATTCTGATGTTTGGGGACCTGCACCTATTTCTAATATTTCGGGTGCTAAATGGTTTGTGTCATTTATCGATGATTGTACTCGAGCAACTTGGATTTTCTTGATGAAGGATAAGTTAGAAGTACCAGAAATATTTATTAGTTTTTATAACATGGTACAAACACAGTTTGGCAAGGGGATTAAAAGAACCCGCTCTGACAATGGCAAAGAGTATGCCAATCACACCCTTTCAAATTTTACCAGTCAACGGATAATACTTCAAGAATTTACATGTGTCGACACCCCACAACAAAATGGTGTTGCAAAAAGAATCGTCATTTACTTGAAGTTGCTCGAGCCATCTTCTTCCAAATGGCAGTTCCCAACTCATATTGGGGAGAAGTCATTCTGACTGCTGCCTACTTGATTAATCGGGTTCCATCTCGCATGTTAGGTAATGTCAGTCCTGTTCAATTTATGACTTCACAGTTTCCTTTTGTTCCTATTTTGAAAAGTCTCGGGTCTCGAGTATTTGGTTGTGTTGCTTTTGTCCATATCCATAAACAACACCGAAGTAAGTTGGACCCCCGCGCAGTCAGATGCATCTTTGTTGGCTATCCCCCAACCAAGAGAGGATATAAATGATATCATCCTCCTGGTCGTAAGTACTTTGTCTCTAAAGATGTCATGTTTCATGAGAATTTGACCTACTTCACTTGTCCTCAGCTTCAAGGGGAGAGCATTCAGAATGTAGAATCTGATTCCGAGTTTTTGGTCCTACCTGAGTTGCCCGTGACTCCTCTCTTAAGTCCTATTACCGGTCCTACAAATGAGTCTTCCGAGTCAACTGTTAATCCTATGTCAAGTCCTATTACTGATCCTTCTATTATTGATCCTACTTCTATTTTGGTCCCTCCTTTGTCGTCTGTTTTGCAGGAACCATCATCTTCCACACCAGCAAAAACTAAGGCTGGTGAGCCAACCTTGGTGTAACACAAAAGAAGTAAGCCCGACCTGCTCCAAACACAACTTCAATTGCCAGAACCGGCGGTAAGTGTTGAAACTCACAGTCCTATTAATGATTCCCATAGCTTTGACACTTGTGACACTAATATAGATGATTTGTCCATTGCTATGAGGAAAGGGAACAGGTCATGTGCCAAATACCTTATATCTCAATTTGTCTCCACTAAAAATCTTTCCTTGTAGCATCAAAGTTTTATTTCTGCAGTTGACTCTGTGGTCATTCCATCATCCGTTCAAGAGGCATTGAAAGATAGAAATTGAGTCCAAGCGATGGATGAGGAAATGAAAGCTCTTGAAAAAAAATGGAACTTGAGAGATTGTTGATAGACGGGAAGGCAAGAAACCTATTGGTTACAGGTAGACTTATACAGTCAAACACAAATCAGATAGTACTCTTGACCGTTACAAAGCTAGACTAGTGGCAAAAGGATACACACAGACATATGGCATAATTATGAGGAAACATTTGCTCATGTTGCAAAAATAAACATTGTTCGGATCTTATTATCTCTTGCTGCTCACTCCGGATGGGAATTACAACAATTTGATGTCAAAAATGCATTCTTACATGGAAACTTAGAAGAAGAGGTGTACATGGAGATTCCGCCGGGATTTGGCCCAACATGTGGATCCAACATGGTGTGTCGATTGAGGAAAGCCCTATATGGACTAAAACAATCTCCTAGAGCATAGTTTGGAAGATTTACAAAAGCAATGGTGTACTTAGGCTACAAGCAGAGCCAAGGAGATCACATGTTTTTCTTTAAGCACTCGCATGAAGGAAAACTTACTATCCTTTTGGTTTATGTTGATGATATTATTATTACAGGAGATGATCTAGCAAAGAAACAATTGCTGAAGGAAAAGCTATCGGCAGAATTCGAGATGAAGGACCTTGGGAAACTCAAGTATTTTTTGAGAATTGAGGTTGCTTACTCAAACCAAGGCATTTTCATATCTCAAAGGAAGTATATACTCGATCTCTTGCAGGAAACTGGGATGCAAACCTTCTAGTGTTCCCAAAGAGCAAAACCATAAGTCGAGCCTCGAAGAAGAAAGTGTCGAAGTTGACAGAGTCCAATATTAAAGGTTGGTAGGAAAGTTGATTTACCTGGCGCACACTAAGCCTGGCTTGGCTTATGCTATCAGTGTAGTGAGCCAATTTATGCATGACCCGAGAATGTGACACTTACAAGCTGTTGATCGCATCTTGCAATACCTCAAGGCTACTCCGGGAAAAGGACTATTGTTCAAAAGAGGTGGAAACTTAACTATAGAAGCCTACACCGATGCTGATTATGCAGGATCAATAAGTGATAGAAGATCCACTTCGGAATTTTGCAACCTCTTGTGTGGGAACCTTGTCACATGGAGAAGTAAGAAACAAAATGTAGTGGCTCAATCAAGCGCTAAGGCAGAATTTCGAGCTTTGGCTCAAGGAATCTGTGAGTTACTTTGGATGAGGGCAGTATTATCAAATTGCCCCGCCATGGCCACTATGGCGGATATACATAGCGGTTTTTGGGCTCGCCGCAATGGTAAATATCGACCGCTATTGCGGGTTTTTCCGCCATAATCCGCAATAACGGTGTCACAATGCGGCCGTTATGGCGGGATTTTGGCTCTCCGCCATGGACCACCATCCGCCATGGACAACACTAGATGAGGATCATTCTAAATGATCTGAAAATACAATGTGAAGGGTCTATGAAGTTATTTTGTGACAACAAGTCGGCAATCAATATTGCTCATAATCCCGTTCAGCATGACAGGACCAAACATATAGAGATTGACCGTCGTTTCATCAAGGAAAAACTAGATAGTGGTTTAATAGTTACATCCTATATTTCTTCTGGACATCAACTAGCAGATGTGTTGACAAAGGGCGCCACCTAATCGTTTCAATCAATTGCCTTGCAAGCTGGGAATGATTGATATCTATTCTCCAACTTGAGGGGGGATGTTGGAATTATTGAAATTATTCCAATTATTGGAATTACAAATTATTGGAAATATAATTCTGTATTTATGAGCATGTTCATTTATCTAAGAGTCTAGGAATCTATGTCTTGTAAATTACATACATGTACCTAAGAAATAGCTTCAATCTTATCTTGTAATTACTCTCTTGAATGTATATAATCAAATCACTTGAGTGCTTTGCAATTCATGCATTTCACCAAATATTCAATTTACAACAACATATATGAATTTGAGAGTTATTGTGGTTGTATACTATATTATAAATATCAATCGATTGCTGAAAGGAAGAAACATAACATGTGATAACTGTGGTTGCTTTTTGGCACATTTTAATAATTGGGAAATGATGTCATATCCATGGGCTGGCTAGAAAAGAGATTATTATTTTAAAGACACGGATACAAATCATCAATTTTCCAAACTTAGACATTTTGATTTGGGAGTAAGTACTCAGGGTATGTGTTAAGAACCAAGAAATTGAATTGAAAAGAAAAGAAATAACTATCTTATTGAAAGAATGAGAAAAGAGAATCAGAGAGTCACTGCTTTATAGCTCTATTTACTAAATAATTCCAATACCTGTATCCTCCTATTATACAAATATTCCTCTAATTCCACTTTATTTTATATCCTAACAGTATCACCTGGATTTTTTATAACTTAATGTAGATTTACAATTTCAGTCTTACCTGTTGCCATAAACTAGGGCACCATTTGAGTATGTAATATATTTTTTTACAACAACCAAATAGTTAAGAGTAATAGTAAGAAACCCTTGTTAATTTATAATAGGACAAAACTTAGGGATAAGGATACTTAGGAGTGATGCTAGTAGTTACCCCTATCAAGTTAGTTACTATATTGATGTTAGGTTTGTTTGGGTAGTTAGTTAATTTCAGTTTGAAGAGCCTTAGGCTCATTGTGTAGGAGAGCCAGTATAGAAGTCTATACCTACATCTCCCAGAGACGTCTTTGAACATTCAGTAGAATTAACTGGAAAATTTCTAGAGACGGGAGTATCTTTGTGTGTATTTTTTTTCTGAAATCGATAAGCTGCTACAACAACAACCACCAAGCCTTATTCCATTAAATAGGGTTGGCTATATGGATCAACTTCTGCCATAATGTTCTATCTAGGACCATATTTTTATCTAAATTGCTAATCACCCATTTCAATCACCCAGCTTGAACTTGATGGTTTGCACCCCATCTATTTCTCCATCGTTTTGTATTACAGACACCAGATATTTAAACTGCATGACAAATAAACTTCCCTTCTATCCGTTTAGTTCAAGGTTCTTATCAAAAAACCATAATAAAAACTTCTTCCCACAAGGTGGATTTTGCACTATGAATTAGGCCCATCTATTCCAGCACCATTTAGCGTGCAAGACTTTTTATGTATATAAAACAATAATTGGAGCGAAGAAGAAAAAAAAGGAGGATAAGGTATTCTAACAACAAAAAATACATGGAAAAGAAACAACCCAATTAAAAATGTTCATTGATTCAACTACTGTTCATCACTGCTACATGTAATCTCTTATAATTGCATTCTCCGCCATGAGTAAAAACTTGGAAGCATACCAAGTAAACTATGTTCAAAACATTAAATATTATAAACTAGAAATAATGATCAAACCTTGATTGCATCTTGGAACTTGGTTGACAAGTCTAGCCTCAAGTTTTGCCCCTCAGTTGATACACGTTTGCATTCTTCCTGAAAATAATGAAGCATGAATCCTAGTTTCTTCATTAACAAAATAAAAATGTAGCTCTTAAAGTAAAATGAATAAGAATCTGATCACACTACCATGAGTCACACTCATGTCATAAAAAGAGAAGTCGTCATTATGATAAAGAGAAGATACAACATGGTACATGAAAAACTTGAACAAGAAGACTGCTCAATCAGTCCACATATCAGAAACAGCATCCCCCATGTAACAACCATGACCAGAACATTAAAGATCCAGAATTAAAAAACAGTAATATAGCAAGATTAGGAGACAAAGTGACATGCTTGAAGATTAAAGCAATTGGATAGCCAGGAAAGGTAAATATAATTACATACATTGTATACAATCACATGAAATTTGAGCCTCAATACAAAAACCTTCATAACAGATCAACAAGAATTTCCCAAAGACGGAAAGACCACACCAAATGACTACCAAGAATCCCAAAAAGATTGTTCCAGAACAAAATAAGTGCCATAAGTGCAAATGTGAGGTCTATAAATTGCTAAAATCCACTTATTAAATCTGTTGAAGTCAAGCTATTCAAACAAATATTGACCTTAAGAGGGAAGTACTCTCTTCATTCCAAATTGTTGTAAATAATTTACTTTTACCGTAGTTATTTTTACTATTGTTAATAGTAATTTATATTCGGTAGTTCAGTAGTTAAGCCCATTAGATTAGAATGGTCTATATAAAGAGATTAGGGTTTGTACATTTTTCATACTCGAAATGTATTATTCAGTTTTTTACATGGCATCAGAGCTCCCGATCTTGGGGGTCTTGCTTCCAATTAACCCCTAGCCGCCGTCATTGCAGTTTCTTATTTTTGTTCGTCTTCATTGTGGTTTCTTATTTTTTTTCTGTACTCATTGCGGTTTTTTATTTTTGTCCGCCTTCATCGCGGGTTTTTTAATCCAGAAAACATTGTTCATCAGAGGTATTGTTCATCAGAGGTATTGTTCATCACAGACATTGTTCAATTTGTGACACTGTTCATCGTAGAGGCATTGTTCCCAGTTGAAGGTTGTGGGCCTCTTTACTACTGCTCGTCTTTATTTTTTCTATTGAGTTACACACATTCGTATGACATTCATCAATATCTAGGAAGAAGAATTGGTTCAACTCAACCAAGATGAAGTAGAAAGGTTGATATTGAATATATAAATAGCTAAGCCTCTATTTGTATCAATATATAACTGGCAGTTGTAAGTACCAATTCAGTTTAACCTGTAATAGCAGGTTACCCTTGATGCTATATATAAAGCATCAAGGAACCTTTTTGTAACTAACTTTGAGAAATAACTGATATCAGTTACACAAAAATGAAAACTCTATTCTACTCTTCTCTTCTTTCTAATTTGGTATAAGAGCCTAGTTTCCTGATTCTGGCGCTTCATATCATGTCACCAGTGATGCAAAGAACTTACAACAAGTGACTCCTTTTGAAGGCCATGACCAAATTTACATTGATAATGGACAAGGTTTGGCTATTCAATCTGCTGGTTCCAGCTCCTTTCCTTCACCTTTTCACCCTACCACACACACACCACCAGAATGGTGTCATTGAAAGAAAGCACAGGCACATAGTGGATTTAGGGCTTACCTTGCTTAGTCAGGCTTCCCTTCCCTTAACATATTTGGACTATGCCTTTTTTACTGTTGTATACCTTATTAACATGTTCTTCCCTTCCCTTAACATATTGGGACTATGCCTTTTTTACTGGTGTATACCTTATTAACAGGCTGCCATCTGCTTCCATTAATTTTGAGGTTCCTTACACCCTTCTATTCCATCAGCAGCCTGATTACAAGTTTCTGAAAGTTTTTGGATGTGCTTGTTTTAGAAACTTAACTTCAGATCTCAAGAATGCCTCTTTCTTGGATATTCCACATCTCACAAAGGCTATAGGTGTCTGGCTCCTAATGGCAGGTTGTACATCTCAAAGGATGTTCTATTTAATGAGTCTAGATTTCCATATCCAGATTTATTTTCTTCATCCAAACCTAGTTCTGCTTTCAGCCACATTACATCCTTGGCACCTCTATTCCATCACCACTTCACAACCTTCTCTTACTCCACATATCACCACTTCACAATCTCTTATCCCTAGTCCCTCAAATGATCTCCAACTTGCCTCTCCTACTACCTCACCTGTTCATGCTCCCACCTTTGCTTTTTCTGTCCCGTAGTATTCATCACCAACTAGTGATTCTGCAGCTTCTTCACCTACTGCTACCAGCAACTCCTCAGGGACCTTCTCTAGTCCGGCTGACTCTTCATCCAGCTCACCTTCAGTTACTGAACCTAAGCCACATGCTCCTCCTAATGCTATTCATGTGGCTGTTATCCCTCAGAACTCTCATCCTATGAAAACTAGGGCCAAATCTGGATGCACTCAGCCTAGACTGGATCCTAGGGTGCTTATTACTCACTCTGAGCCAAAATCTGTGAAACAGGCTCTTGCTGATTTGCATTGGAAAGCAGCTATGCAAGATGATTTTGAAGCCTTACAGAAAAATGCTGCAAGTGGGTCTTTAGGCTCAAGGAAAATTCTGATGGCACCATCAACAGATACAAGGCCAGATTTGTGGCCAAAGGCTTTCATCAAAGGCATGGCCTGGATTTTACTGAGACTTTTTCACCAGTTGTGAAGCCTATTACTATCAGGATCATCCTCACTATTGCCATTACTCACAAATGGTCTATTCAACAGTTAGAAGTAAATAATGCGTTTCTTAATGGCCTTCTTGATGAAGAAGTTTACATGGAACAGCCTCCAGGGTTTCTTCACTCTAGTTCTTCCTTGATTTGTAAACTCAACAAGGCCTTATATGACCTAAAACAGGCTCCAAGGCAGTGGTTTGAGAGACTGCAATCAGCTCTTCTCAAGCTCAACTTTAAAGCCAGCAAGTGTGACCCCTCTCTTTTCACCTACTTCTCCAAAGGACACTCTCTTTATCTACTTGTTTATGTAGATGATATTATCCTCACAGGCAGTTCTACTGCACTTCTCAATGAAGTAATTCACAAGCTTAATTTTGCCTTCTCTCTCGAGCATCTTGGGGATCTTGACTATTTTCTGGATATTGAGGTTAAGCAGTCAGCTAATGGTTATATGCTTCTCACCCAAACTAAGTACCTCAAAGATTTACCGCAGAAAACTGACATGTTAGAAGCCTGTTCTGTTAGCACACTCATGCAGTCCACCTGCAAACTCACCAAAACTGGGTCTGCAGCCTTTTCTGATCCCTATATGTACAGGTCCGTAGTTGGTGCCTTGCAGTATGCTATTATCACCAGGCCTGATTTGACCTATGTTGTTAACAAAGTGTGTCAGTTTATGTCACATCCTCTTGATTCTCATTGGCAGGCTGTCAAAAGGATTCTCAGGTACTTGAAAGGTACCCTTCATCATGGTTTGTCCCTCACTCCTCTTTCCCCTCAGGTTGTTCCCTCTCTTCATGTTTACTATGATGATGATTGGGCTTCAGATCCAAATGACAAAAGAAGTACATTTGGTGCTGCTATTTTCTTTGGAGCTAATTTGATTGTCTGGTGGTCAAAGAAGCACCCAGTTGTTGCTAGGTCCAACACTGAATCTGATTACAGAAGTTTAGCTCAAGCTACAGCTGACCTTCTTCGGATACAGACACTATTGCAGGAACTATGCATTCAAACCAAACCTCCCATCATAGTGTGTGATAATCAATTTGCTGTTCTATTAGCTCATAATCTTGTTTTGCATTCCAGGACTAAGCATATGGAGATTGATCTATTTTTTGGGAGAAAAGGATTTGGCTAGGCAAATTCAGGTGCTGCACATCCCTGGCACTGATCAAATTGCTGATGTGCTGACTAAATCCTTGGCTTCCACCAAATTTCTAGAGTTTATACACAAACTTAGGGTAGCTAGCTCCCCTCAATTTGTGGGGGAATATTGAATATATAAGTAGCTAAGCCATTATTTGTATCAATATATGACTGGCAACTGTAAGTACCAGTTCAATTTAACCTGTAATAGCAGGTTACCCTTGATGCTATATATAAAGCATCAAGGAGCCTTTTTGTAACTAACTTTGAGAAATAACTGAATTTAGTTACACAAAAATGAGAACTCTATTCTACACTTCTCTTCTTTCTAATAGTTGAGATCCTTCCTTAGTAAATTAGAGAAACCTACATGTACTTCTTTGTAACATTCAAGGACGTTTATGTTTTCCCTTTTTCTTGGTAAGTCTCAATTTTCTTTTGCATTTAATACCTCAATTAAACCCTATAGCAAATATTGGATACTGAATTTTGGAGCCACTGGCCACATGACACCCTTACCCGCACATTTTTCTACTTATTCACCTTGTGCTATCGACAGAAAAATATTCACCGTAGATGGTACCCTTATAATTGTAGTTAATCAAAGAGATATCCAAATAAGTCCATCTAAAATTGTTTCCCTTCTACGGTCCTTGTCTCCAAAACTCCTATTGAAGCCTTATCCTCATTTCATCGTGATGTGTCCACTTCCAATAATCAAACTAGACTAAATGTTGAGACTTAAACTAGTGGTGACAATATTGAGACTTAAACTAGGGGTGACAATGATCAGACTAAACTTGATTCTAAAAAAATTTCAACAGCCCATAAAGACTTCCTTGCAAGTCTAAACACTATAACAATACCTAACTCTTTATCTGAGGCACTGTCTGACAAAAAAGGGAAACAAGTCATGAACTTGGAGATGGATGCTTCTGAATAAGACTAATACTTGGGAATTGCCTTCTCTACCAAATAGAAAAAAACCTATAGGATGCAGATGGGTATATGCTGCAAAAATATAAGGTTGATGGAAATATTGAGAAGTGCAAGGCAAGATTGGTTGCCAAGGGATGCACCCAAACTTATGGAATAGATTACTCAAAAAATATTGTCATGGTGATATTACCTTAAGCGGCTAATTACAATTGGAATTTACTTTAATTTAATGTGAAAAATTCCTTAAGAATATGTTTCTAAATGTGCTTGAGATACTTAGCACTCAGCAATAAGTTTAATTTATGAACATAGTAGTTACAATGGTAATAAATGAACATATGCAATTTACGAGTAAGTAATTAAGCTAACACAATTTCCTAAGATACTTAGAAGTTAGAACAATAAATCTTAAATACTTGGAAGAAGAAGAATTAATATATTTTAATTTGTAACATAAAGCTTGAAGAGATCCACATGTAGGGATGTAAATGGTATTCATGAGGATGGATAGTATGATATTAGTATATATTTCATTGGATAAATATGATATTCATATATGTCTCATATTTGTGCAGGTATCCGCTAAATAGATAACCCACATGTTTTAAGGTATTCGTGGATATTTACAGATGATATTTACAGATATCCATGGATAATTTTTTTTTTTAATTTTTATTTGAAAAAAAAAATATTTTCAACTTCTTTTAAAGACAAAGGAAATTATTATCACATAACATTCATACAAATCTCTCTTATTTTAAAAACAAAATTTTATCACATTAATTTCCTTCATTTTCACCAAAACATGATATTCATACATTTCGTTTTTAACAAAAAATAAAAGATATTGTGATTGTGAGTTATGGAAAAGGAGCAGACAACAGAGAAGTAAAAAGGAAGACACTGGTTGGACAGAGAAAGTTATTGGTTGGACGGTGGAATTGTTGAAGTGAAGTATAGAGTAAAGAAGAAACTTAAATATGAAATGGCTAAAATGAGTTGTATGGAAAGTAAAAGGTTTTTTTCAAAAAAAAAAAAATATGAGAAGAATAGTTTTTTTAGAAGATGAAAAGACAGAATATAATAAACCAATATTTAAGTAATTCTTATAATTTATTAATGGATACGGATATCTGCAGGCATGGGTATCATTAAACTTGTATCCATATTCATTACTAAACTGGTATTTAAATATCCATTTATTTTATCTGCGTATATCTATTAAGCTACCTGCTCAGTACCCGTGACGGATTTTATCCGCGAGTACGGATTTTTTTGCCATCCCTATCTACATGGATGTACCCCCTGAATAACCATGAACTTACCACTGTTGTGTGCAAATTATATAAGGCTTCACATGGGCTAAAGCAATCACCACGAGCATAGTTTGGAAGATTCACCAAAGTTATGGTAAGTTTGAGCTTCAAACAAATTCAAGGAGATGATACTCTATTTATCAAACATTTTGAGACACAGGATAACAATGTTATTGGTGTATGTGGATGACATTGTAGTAACAAGTGATGACGAGGAGCAACAATTTTAAGCGAACATTTAGTCAAGGAGTTTGAGATTAAGACCTTGGAAAAATTGAAATACTTTATAGAGATTGAAGTTTTCCACTCTAAAAAAGAAATCTTCATATCTCAACAAAAATACATTAGTGATCTTCTACAAGAGACTAGGTAAGAGTAACACAACATGCAAGTACACCAATTAATTCAAGTGTAAAGTTGAGGAAAAATATTGCGATTGATAAAGAAATGTATCAAAGATTAGTCGAAAAACTTATATACTACCCATCCCATACTATACCTGATGGTGCTTTTGCTGTAAGCTTAGTTAGCTAATTCATGCACAAACCAAAAGAGATTCATTTATAAGTCGCACTCTAAATTGTGCAATATCTAATAGGAACTCCAAGTAAGGGAATTTTGTTTGAACGAAATTGAAGCGTAGGTCTTGAAGCATATACTGATATGGACTATATGCAGAGTCAATTGTGGATAGAACATCAGCTACATGATATAGTACTTTCCTGGGTGAGAATCTTTTGACTTAGAAGAGTAAAAAACAATGTGTTGTATTTATATTTTGTGCTGAAGCAAAGTTCAGAGCACTAGTATAAGGGATATGCAAACTACTATGGTTGAAAATCATCTTAGAAGACTTGAAGATATAGAATGATGAACCAATGAGACTTAATGTGATAATATATCGGCTATGCAGCATGATAGAACCAAACATACAGAGGTTGACAAACACTTCATCAAAGAAAAATAAGATATTGGTCTTATTTACACTCCATATGTTTCTTCTCAACACAACGTTGCAGATTTCTAACTAAGGGGCTGAACAACAATAACTTTGGAAAGATTGTTTCCAAACTGTGAATGATAGATATTTTTTCACCAGTTTAAGGGGGAGTAAATAATTTATTTTTATTATTATTGATAATAATATATATTTGGACCTTTAGTTTATTACTTAAGCCCATTAGATTAAACTAGTCTATATAAAGAGATTAGTCCTTGTACACCTTTCATACTCAATATATTTATTCAGTTTTCACACAAAATTAATTTTAACATTTCATTTTGGTTTGAAAACAATGGGTGTTGTTTCAGAAAACCAAGATATAATTATTCCTTGGTTACAATTCCATTAATACCTCTATCAATAAGATGATGTATGTTTACGAAATTGTTTATAGTGGAATATTTATACTTTTGCCAAGCAAAAATGAGATTACAATGAAAATGAGAAGTTATAAAATTATTAATGATTAAGATAAGAATATTTTAGTACAAGTATACATCAACTACATAATTTATGTGAAAAACCTTAAACCGCCAAAGATATGGAATGGAGAGAAAACTTTAGGAGGGGAAAAATCAAACTAAAAAACTATGGCAGGATGGGAAATAATGGGTAGAAAAAAAGAAAGAAATGCTTCAGTTGGGGGAGAAATGAAGTACTTTTTATTTTGTTTCACATTCTTCATTTTTTATTTTGTTTCACATTTGCAACGCAATGCTTTTAGTATATGTGCTTAAGTGAGTAGCCGAGACAATAGTGGCGCTATCCCGCTATAGCGGAGCGGAGGCCGGTCGCTATGGGAAGAGCCTTAGCGGTGCAGAATACTATAGCGGCTATTATAGGATAAATAGCGAGTAGCGGGGGAGGAGCGGTTCTCGGCCCGGAGCAGTTTCAGTCTCGCTATCCTTTTCTCTTCTGAAAAACCGAAATTACCCCTTAAATTTGTAATTTTGGGTTTTTCGATTAAATTTGAGTTGAGCATCAACCCAAAATCTTCCTTCACCGACATTTCTGTACTTCAACAGTTCCAAAGATAAATCACAAGTTCCTCCCTCACCTCTCGTTGCGCTTCGTTCTTCCCTCTGCACTTCATATGTTTATAATTATTATTCATCTAATCTGTCCAAAAAATGATCAAATAACAGTCATTCTGCTATTCCATAGATACTCTGGTGAGTAGGATGTTAGTTTTACTAGAGATGGACAAGCTACCTAAACCTCCTTTGTTCAGCGGGTAATGTTATCCTCCTGCCTATTCTATTACTGCTCTCAAATAAAATATCTTTATTGAAAAGAAAAAAACATCAATCACGGGATATAACTTTCCAGCAAGTTTAACATGATCAAGAGATCTTAACTGCATATAAGAAAGAGAAAATATTGAGGTATTCAACATCTAGTAATTCTTACATATCACAGTCAGTTTAAGAGGTAGTGGTGTAACAGAAGAATACCATCAGCATTTTATTTTGACGCTGTAACTCCCTGCACAGTGATTCAAGCTTTTCTCTGACAGCAATAGCTACAAATAGAAAGGAAACGTTCAACAACAACAACAGATTAAGCCGTACCATTTGTTTAAAGATTCTCTAACTGCTTTCAAGATGATAACAGATTACTCTATCATCTTTACTATGAACAAATAGCTTAGTCATCATGAGAATTAGATGACTGCAATGACAGTTGGTCTATTAGCCAACTCAGCAAACTCAGTTATCATGTTATAAACAAATGTGAGCAGGATCTTCTACAACTCTATCTTAGCTGACCCTCTATAAATATTAGTGTACAGTAACAAATGGTTGGTTGATTCTGATTTTAAGATTCAGACAGTGATTCTGTTTTCTCATCATCTCAAATACTTTCTTTCACTTTCTCTTGATTTCTCTTATTTTAAGAAACTTCACAAATGCTCTCCAAGGATTATTTCAAAACCCATTATTCAAAATCAGATATATTCATTGCAATATATACCTGAATCTCTTTCAGCCAATACTTGTTGATACTTGAGTGATAACTCTAAGAGCTCCTTTTCTGCTTTAAGTGTACGCTTTGAAACCTTACGCTTTTCACCGGTTTCCTGACAAATTTAGAAGTTCAACTATTCAGTCTCTCCTAAATGTAGTCTCATGTATGACATGCAAAAAAGAAGAAAGAAAAAAACAATCTCATATTAACCAAAAGAGAAAAGGAAAAAAGAACGAATATTCTCATCGAAAACGAATCTAACCCACTGTGAGCCATTACTTTCTCAACTAATCTAACCCTCTGAGTGATTATTTTGTCCCCTAATATATAACCCTTCAGAATGAATTCTCTACTCTAACAAAATAGAACCTAATCAAACCCTATGTGAGTCATTATTGTGTTAAACTTGTAAAAATAGTAAAACACTATTATAAAGAAGCCAGAGAGCTAAAGCCTTGTAGAACTGCTGTATCATTCATTCAATAGCCCTGATGTGTATTCTCTACAAATTCAAAATTATCAGACATTGACAGAGAACTCCAGAACAATTGTCCTTAATTAATCAATATCATCCCCAAAAATATAATCTAACAATTCCATAATCAATGAAATTACTCATCACTATTCTTCAAGGTAAAGTATACTACACCTACCAACCTAAAACATAGTCCAAATTATTTAGTTTTTATTAGTAAAACCAAAAGTAAGGTCTTCTATTTATTTTCCATTATTTCATCCAGCACAAAAAAAAATAAAAAATAAACTTAATGGTAGTCGAATAAAATGTGACAGTTGATGGGTTGAGCTACCAAGGACATGTTTAATCAACCATTCTAATTAAATAGCGTGAATATAAAAGAGAGGCAAAGGAACTCAGTTACTCAGAGATGGTCAAAGAGAGGAGCGAAAAATTATGTAGCAGAACAGAAACTATTTATACAATTATATTTCCAATGTATGGAGAATATTGGAATTCACATGATTTACTTACTGATTTTTTGTTTTTTGAAGAATCAACTATCCCTGGAGCACACGCCTCCTTTAGAGGCAATGCTTTTGTCTCCAAAGGTTGTTTCGCTGCAACAACAATAAGTAATAGTAACAGACCCATGTGAGATACTAAAATAAGAACTAGATGACATCAATAATACGAAATATATTAATTTAAGCACATAAATCACTTAACTTTGATGCTCAAACTCACACATAAATCCATCAATTATAACTGTTAACATAATCATTCCAGTCATTTAGAAACTGTTACGTATGGAAAAAACATCCAGTCGTGTAAGAGAGTATAAGAATCAAGAATGTTAAGTTAAATTAAAAGATCTGATTCATCTTTCAAATAAATTTGTTCTTCAAATCATGCACATTCTATTCGGCTCAGGATGGGCAAGATTTATAGGACAGTGGTTTCTTGTTTGATGTACAGAGTTAGACAAAATGGATAGTTCGGAGAGAGAGGGATTGGTCATTAGATCAACATAAAATCTAGGGCACGTGCCAAAGGGAATACCTAGTTCCACACAATATGAAGATTGTTTAAACTAAAATACTATACACAAGAAGACTTTCATACGTAAGGATGATCTCAATTTTGACAGTGGTGTGAGTAATAAATAAAAGCATAATAAGAAACCACGTGCATTCTTCAAATAAAGGTCCTACTGAACCCAGGGCTCCCGAAAATTCCATGAGTAGGAAAATGAATAAGGAAAGAAGAAAATTTAACATTGGTCACAACAACACATTGGTTTTGCAAGATACATAGTTTGCTTAATAAAGAACAAAAGCCATAGCAGAACATATACAAATAGCCCCGATAAGTAAGTAATCAAGGGTAACACCCAATTGTAGAGTCAACAAAGAATAAACATTATTTCTAGACAACATCGATATGACAATATGTTGCTCATGCAACTCCATGATAAGTACAAATCCTACAAAAAGGACATCAAGGGTTAGGAGGATAATTACATTTATCCGAACTTTGACATCCTCCTTGTTGTTGCTCTTTTACCTCACAACTTCCGGATAGTGGAGATTCAGAATCAGAACTAGCTAGAGAAGATGCAATATGTGTACCTTCAATATATTGCATACAGCTATTAGAAAAACCTCTAGTGATAGAGGTCAAAAGTACACGAGAGATGATTTTGGTTCACTAAATTTGCTTACCATGATCGTTTTGAAACTCCTTCTCACCCAACACGTTTGATAACTCATTAGAATGACCGCAATCTATAAAACCATCATCCTTGTAATCATCACAAAGAGGCTTATCTAGTTTAGGAATTGGAATTGCAGGTGCAACAGGCTCTGCAGCTCCCTCAACAAACCCATCTGGCAACGAATCAACTTCAGGAAGATGGTTTGCTTTCGGATTCTGCATTTTTCCTACACCTCAAAAACCCCTTGTTAGAACCAATTAACATCAATTTAGCACTCACCTTATTACAAACATTGGAAGCAAATACGTTATCATCACAAAAAAAAACCTAAACTATTTTCAAACTTCATTAAGGGTTTTGAAAACATGTAATGAGAAATGCAAACGATGAATTGAATACAAAAGACGTTAATTGTTGTTACCAATTGAAGAAACGGAAGGAGTTAAGTGCAAGAATCGGTGATTAAGATTTGAAGTGAAAGAGGGAAAATTAGAGTGAAACCCTAGCGGGAAGAATGGATAAAAGGGAAAGAGAGAAGAAGATCGAATAGTGAATGTGGTAATGGAAATTTGTTACCTTGTTTCTTTGTTTTAGGTTTGAAGTTCGATAGGTATGAATGAGTATATGAGTGTGAAGCGTTTGTTAAAAAAAAGTATGAATTCAAAGTATATGAATTAGGAACACAAGTTCTCGAATTCTTTTTTAGCAACAATTATGTTTTTTTTTAAATATATATAAATAATTATGTTTTAGAGAAAATTACACAAATAATTAGGTTTCAGAATATACATCAATGAATGTGTCATCTTACTTAGCTTATGTACTCCCTTTTTATCTTTTGCACTATCTCACTTGGCGCATACACTTTGTTTTAGTCATGTGAGATATGCACTATAATATGGAGAGGAGGCGCCATCTGAGATTACTATTACGGGCAATTGTGTTTTTTATAAATAAAACACTCATTTCTCCATTATTTTTCACACTTTCTCACATTCTCTTCTCATTTTTTCTCTGTTTTTTTGCATCATGACATCTCCTCTGATTTTCACCAGAGATTGGTACGTTATTTTCTCGGCCATCAAACCTCTGATGAAAATGAAATTTTGACACATTCACTCCACTAAACGTTTGAAGAGAGAGTTTATGCGATGGCTAGAGGGAGACATTGATGTTGGAGAACAAATTAGAAAGATTCAGAGAAGAATAACAGTCACCTCACTTGTAACTAGAAGACCTCAATCTTGGTTGGAGGAAGTCAAAATAGGCAGAGACGTAATGGTGATGATGTATGGCTCAGATGAAATTGTTTTGACGGTTGTAAGTTGTGTTATCGTATTTTTATTTGTTGTTTGCGTATGGTTTGTTGTAACAAATGCTCTTAATGAAAAAAAGTTATGTTTAGATCTTAAAAAAGTGGAGATAGTTTGCATATAATTTTTATATTGTCAAGTTTGTAGTACGAGTGGGATAATTTTTTCGATTGTGTCTGATCTAACGACATAAACCACACTTTCTTTTTAGCTTGTCAAGGGAATCCATTTCAGTTGTGATACGCTTGCTTTTGGGACGACCCTTTTTATTCCTTCATATTTGATCGTTGGGCCATACTATTTCCCCTTCGTATGAAAGCCAATAATCACATTTCGCTACCATTAAAAAGCCATTCTTATATACGCTGAGCAAGGTTTCAGACTTGTAAATGGGAGATAGAAGTAGTAATGCATATTGATGACTATACGCACATGTCGCAATAACATGAAGCAAGGCATATGAAAGGCTTGAAACTTTCCACAATCGTACCAATAAGATGGTAGTATAATCCTATATTTTTATCTTGGCAGACCCTCGTTTTGGTTGATTGTCTCTTTGACAATGAAGTTATGGCTATGTTGGTCGAACCTTATAATAAGATGGGTGTTGGCTTTGGCACCTTCTGCCTTAATATATTTCATGCAGCTTTCACTCCATATTTGTCCCGATTGTAAGACAACATTCCATATTTCATCTCTTTTTGCAAACAAGAAGTCATCCTAAAATATGTTGATTTCACCAAAGCACTTACTAGGAGGTTTCACATGCCTTTGAATACACCATTTATTGATTCGATAAGATTAGTTGTCATGTAGCCTCATCGTTATCCATTATCGTATGACATTGTCTATTTCTTCATTGGAATATTATCAATCCACCTACCTGCATCTGGATTTGACAATCTGATCTCGTTGCTGTAGTGTTTGAACGAAGTTTGTGTTAATGCATACCCCGTGTTCATAATTGTTTTCCTATGAGCCTTGTCTTTGATCTCCCTCGTGAAATTTTGTACGATATGTCTAATGTAGTAAACATGCGTAGAAGTAGGGGCATGCCAACCATTTGCAGGATTATTATATGCACTCTCAATAGATGCATGTCTGTCGGAGATCAAACAGAGACCAGGTTGTGGAGCCACATGTGTTCAGAGATTCTTGAGAAAGAAAATCCAAGCACCACCAGTCACTCACTCGACTAGAGCAAAGGCAATTGGGAAAATATTATTATTGTCATCTTGTGCAACTGCCATCAGTAGCGTGCCTTTATATTTCCAGTACAATCATGTTCCATCTATTTTAATAATAGGTTTGCAGGACGCAAACCCTGTGATGCAAGGTTGAAAAGCCCAGAACAGTCGACTGAATATTTCATTTCTGTTGACAGAAATACCATTTGGGGCATATGCCGACAATGTTTCCATAATATAAACAGTTTCAGGAGAATATGTCTGAAGTGCATGCAGGTAGCGTGGTAGTTCTTTTTATGACTCCTCACAATTTCCATATACCTTTTCAATCGCCTTGGTCTTTTCTAACCACACCTTTCTTTATGATGGAGTATAATTTTATAATGTAGTTATGTGAGAGATTATGGTTTTCACCTTCAATGATAGATCATTTTTAATGAGAGGTAGAATTTCTTGACATATTAGATCATAATTTAGTTTACGATGATCTTGTGATTGAGTAAAATTAATGCACGTGTGGATGGACATAGAACTAATCGCCCAACAATCACCTTTCAACCTGTATGATGCAGTGAGCCTGGACATATAATCTGGGTTAACACACTTGAGCTTGTACCTTTCTGGATTTACCCGATCTACCTTAAAATCGACAGAGTTTAACATGTGAAACTTTTTTATAACTTGCATACAATATTCTCTTGAACGGAATTTGTCTTTCTCTTTTAAATTTTCATCTGACTGCATATATGGGTTAAAAAAAACATCTGATGACGGTTCATCTCCGCCCATGTTGAAGTTTGTCATGTGTGAAGGTGGTGTGTAGATTTCATTTGGAGGTATTTCCGGTAGTGCATCGTCTTCAGAATCATTGTTGACCATGTTGTCAAACTCTAACTCTTCATCTTCCTCTTCTTCGTCAATGACATCTACTTCTGCTTGTTCGCCTTCGATGGGATCAACCACTTGTGACTGAGTTGGTTATGACAACTGAGCCTCCTGGAGCACAATGTAAACTTAATTGAGTCGTACCTAGAGTACTCATGACTAGAAAATATATTTTGAAGATCCTCGTCGTCTTGAACCTCTACCTTATAAAATATTATTTGGTTCTCACAAAAAAAAATGGATTTTGATAGAAGACGTGTGACACTGGATCTCATCCAAGTTTGACCTCTAATCGTCTTTTGAAATACAAGAAGTTGACTTTTATGTTTAAACAAAAGCAAACAGTGTCTCTAAATAAAAAAACCAAAGGTGGGACAAATGCATGTTTCACTGTTGAAATATGCACTGATAACATATTATGGTGTAGAGGATATTGTGTTTGGTGTTTGAATGTTTGAGCGTTGATAACATTAGATGCATGTAGGATAAATAAGTCTCATTTGCCTTTAACAATAAAAAATGCTCCACCATTGATTCGTCAATTGAGATGGTGAATTCTCTTAATTTTGGTCTTATGCACCATCTGGGATGGCGCATCCCTATAGGTCATGTCATGTTACATGCATACGTATAATATTGTCCATATGCTGCCATCTTACAATGCACCTATATTGCCACTTACTCTACATGTAGGTTTGTCCCACATCAAGCTGACTGGCGCATGCTCTCTAAAATGTATGTAGGCGTCATTTGACTTGGCTCCAACATGGCACGTATTATGCATGCATGCAACCACCAACCACCTCACTAAATTCACTCTTATGCAAATCCGCCTATAAATATGGCACCTGAGACACTTGTTTTACATCACCAATCATCACACTCTCTGATACAAACTTTTTCATTGTCTTATAGAATTTCAAATATGGTTTTTCTCACAATGGGCGATTCTCATAGAGGCACAAGAAAAAACATTGCGGTTTTTGTAAGTTTCTATAAACTCTTAAATGTTATTTTATATTAATATATTTTTTATAAAATTATTATTAAATTAGTTATCTTATGGACTCTTACACTATTTACATTTTGAATTTAGGATACTAAAAGATTTAGAATTCGCTCACACAACTATATTACTCCCGACCCATTGATCGTGCCCTATCTCGAATATGCCAGTTTTGGAAATGTTATAAAAATCTCAAACTGCACGATTAATTCCAAGTTTATACTTGCATGCAATATTGGAAAGATGGAGACCCGAGACACATACATTTCATCTATCAATAGGTAAATATACTGTCACACTAGAGGACATGTACATGTTATTGGGTCTTCCTATCGATGGTAAGGCAGTGAATGGGTCAGTTCAACAATCCAATTCTCTATACAAGGAATTGTTGGGCAAAGATATGGTAGAAGGCAGTGGTGCTATGGGTCAAGGTATATTACTAACCGAACTTAAAAAACATTATGCGACTCTTGAGTTGAATGAAAATTCATCCGAGCTATCAAGAATAATCAAAGCTATAAATTATATTATGATACTATTTGGAAACTTATTATTTCCCAAAAGTACAGGGAATAGTGTAAATTTTATGTATTTAAGTTTGCTTAGGAACTTTGAAAAAACAAGAAAGTATAGTTGGGGTTTTGCTGCTTTAGCCCATCTATACAATTCTGTGTAAAAATGCAACAAAAGACAAATGTACTTTTTATGGATGAGCTTTCTTACTCCAAGCATGGGATTGGTGGACAATGGAGTACCTAAACCCCGTTAACAACAATGCATTCATTTTCCCATACGCAACAGAGTAGGCCAAGAACTTAAATAATTTA